GTATACCTCATTTGCAAGTCGCTTTGGATAAAAGAGTCTGCTAAAATTAATAAATGTAAATGCAAAATAACATAGTTAATGTCAAAAGTCTCAGTCACCTGATAATGTAACATTATGAATAACTATTTATAAGTAATGCAACATTGTAATTCTTTTAAAAGTAACAAAGATCATTAGCATTCAGTCCATATGTGCCCTTGCAACATCGCACAAGCATCTCTGCATTTACAGTTGTAATCTAATTCTAGTATAATCTTTAAATGTTATTAGCACAGGTCTCAGTCCACATAGTGTTTGGCTATTGCAGAAAGAGGAACTCAGAAAGGATTCAACCTTTCCTATTCTGATTGATTTAATCAAAAGACGATATGCAAGGTTCAAAGGTGACATTTCAGTTACCCCAGTTGCACAAGCAAGCAAATAATGTGCTATGGTGAAACAAGCACAAAACCTTGTGTAAACTATTACAGATGGATATGCATGTGCACTGAAAAAAAAAAAAAAAATCCATGGAAAGTACATGTGCTGCAGTTATACTGGAGGAAAGGGGATTTTAACTAGGTTAGACGGGGGTTTAACACTTCATTGGACATTTCAAATAGAGATTAATGTGGGCTTCTGCCAGCTACAGCATATGAGAATCTTTTTGCTTTGTGATGGCATTCAGTTCTGGCTGGTGAGACCCGATCGTCTCTGCCGCTCCTATTTCACAAGGGCAGTGGAAAAGTTTGGGTCAGCAGAGCAGGCTGCTGGAGGGGGACGGAGCTTGATTCTGCCAAACGGAGCATGTGTGAACTGAGTTTTACGATGCTTGCTCTAAACAAGGAGGGGAGAGAGATATCATCCTTCCAACACCCGTGGTAAACTGAGGTCAATCAAGTTCGTGCAGAGATTGCCTGCAAAACGGTTTGTGTTGTGAGGGTATTCAATCGTCTAGACGTTTTTCATTGAGAGCCAAAAGCTGGCGTATTATAACGCTAGATTTCGCAGACAAAGCTTAAGCTAGTCCTAGATTAAAAGGAATGTTTGAGCTGTTTTAACTGAAAGCACATATTAAAGACTGTCAGTACTTAAGATGCACAATAGTAATGTTTTTTTTTTTTTTTTTTTTATAGGGCACTGTAACGTGGTTCAATTGTTATGGGAAGGAGGAGACGGGAACCGGTGAACATTCAACAAGTTTAAAATAATAAATAAAACAAATACTTAATGAAAGTAAAACACAGCAGTCCCTCATGACCGACTTCTGTCACGTAATAAAACACCAACACAACAAAACAAAACACAGGTTCAGGCCTGTTCTTTTCTCAATCTTCACTGTCGTCGCTACTCCTTTACGCTTCCGTTCCTCCGTTAGAGATGCGAGACTGGTGCGGCTCACAAGTGTCATTCATTATCACTCACGTGACGTCACCTCCCTCGGCCTCGTCCTGCTCGCCACAGGCACGTTTATATAAGCGACTTAAATGTCCTAATTGAACTATGACTTGGGCTTAGTCTAAGCCCTGTCTGTGAAACCGGACCATAGAGTCTGACACTTAAGCTACATTTAAAAATGTATGAATGTCTTTGCGTTATACAATACCATTCAAAAGGTTGACGTCAGTAGGATTTTTTTTAAATGATTACTTTTATTACAAAAGATTTCTATTTCATATCAAGCTCTTCATTTGAACTTTTCTATTAATCAAAGTATCCTGAAAACATGTACCACTGTTTCCACCAAAATACTAAACACAACTGTTTTGTGTTTAGTACCAAAACAGCATAAATTAGAATGATTTTGGAATTATTTTAAAATGTATTATATTTCAAACATATAATAAATAAATAAAAAACAGTTATTTTAAATAATATATCACAATAGTAATACACCCTTGAAAAGCATACGTTTTTTAAAAAAGATTTTAAAGGCACACTATGCAAGTATTGTACCTTGATATAACAGCTTCAAAGTCATTTCGGTGGTAAACAAACTTATAGAAGGGCGAATCATCCAGGTAGTTAAGCTTGGTGGGGAGGGGGGGTGCCGCTGGAAAAAGCAGCAGGGCAATTTTGAGAGGAGAGCTCCAGACAAATCCCGCGAGAATCACAACAAGCAATACGGCAAAGACACTTACGCGGCGATGGAAAAAGCAAAGAAAACATGACGCGAGTAGGGGTGGGGGAAAAAAAAATCGATTCTTAGATGCATCGCGATTGCGGACATGAACGATTCTGAATCGATTCACAAATGTCAAAAATCGATTTACAAAAAATTTTTTTTTTTAGATATATATTGACGGAACCGTTTGTGGCGAGCACATAACAGAGTGCGAAATTGTCTATGGCTAAAAGCTGACATGTGGAAATATTTTGGCGTCTGAAGTTGAAGGGGGAAAGGAGCTGGACAAGACAAGAGCCACACTATTTGTAAGCTTTGTATAAAACAAAAATATTTCGGAAACACAACAAATATGAGAAGCCATATGACAGGTTTCCACCCAGAGGAGGAAAAACACTCGGCTGTACTGGTCATTGTTATATTATTATTTTTCTTATTTTATTACTGACTTTTTGCTGATTTTACTGACCTATTTGTCTTTAATAATATTTTAAATTTATATAATGCTAATAGTTTTAGGTGTGGTATTGTAATATAGAATTGAGAATTTTCACTGGTATCTAAAATCTTTGGATACCAGAGAAAAGACAAACAAACATTTAGATAAAAAACATTTATGCTTGCTTTATGCTTAAATGTTTGCTTTAGTCACCGGCCATTGGAAGGTGTGGCAATAAGTTAATTTTGGGCCCTGTGCATACATGATGGAGCTGACAACTTGTGATTAGCTTATAAAATGTGTAAAAGAGTCAAAACAACAGCAGAAATCCCTCTGTTACACAGACAAGTGAAGATCTGCTGGGAGAAGATGTCTTTACTGTCTGTGTCGAACTGTAATGGGCAACAAAATTGTGACTATGACGAGAAAAAAACAGGTATGCTTGAACATTCTTTAGGATAGCATCTTGTAACATCATGTTGTTCATTTACATGTCTTTGGTCCGTGTTGCGTTCATATGTCAGTCGAACCAGTGTTTGTTTGAAAGCGGACCGAAACGGGAACCGTTATTCAACACTTATTCAACAGAGCAATCACACCATTCATTTTAATCAAACCAAACCTGACAAGTGTGAGCACACCCTTAAAAGTGTGCAAATACACTGCTACAGCCTGCTACAAAAAAAAAGCAATTACATTCAACACGTAAAAATTACAACAATTAAAACATTAAGCTGAAACAAGTAATTCAATTTACTGGTGGATAGTGACAATTCAATGTATAGCCTAATGAGTTTAAATGAATAATAATGGATTTCAGGATCAATAACATTTGCCATTTGAATTTCATCACCATTAGGAATGCACTGAACAGAAATATAGAGTTTAACACAAGCTGGTCTGTACATGTCATGCCTCCAGTGGGAAACCTGTACAACCAGTAACCTTTTTGACTAGGATGAAACAAGCCAGAAGCAGTATTTGGGAAATCTGGGAAATCTTTCAATACACGTGGGTTAGTTCAGATAAATATGACAATTCTGTCATCAATCACTTATCCTTGTGTTGTTCCAAAACCCTTCAGTTTTGTGCTTCTTTGGAACATCTATTCACCATTCATCTATTCACCCAAAACTGGATTTGTTATGGATTTCTTTTACAATCTCTATATGAATGTTTCGCAAACACCAGTTTTGGTAGTACTTTCAATGGAGGAACAGATTTTATTAAAAATCTCTTTAGTTGTTTTTCTAAGATGAAAAACAGTCATTGGAATGAGGTGAGAGTGAGTAATTGATGATAGAATTTTCATTTTTTGGGTGAATTTATCAAGTGTTGCACAAATCTGCTGCATTCTTCTCACCTCTCTGTTCATAACAAGCTGCTTGAAACAAGTCTGTGAATAAAGCATTCAGACATGTTTAAAACTCAAACTCATGACCTTTCTGTTTGAGAATCTTTGAAGAAATTATGATTGCAGCACTTTTACCTATAGAATTGCACAGATAACCATGGCTGCTTGGTTGGAAATATAAAATGCAGGGAGTATTGGATTTGCAGTCTCATTTCCCAATGGCATTTCTGTCAGGAAAAAAAAGTGCTATAGGTTCTCAGAATAATTTCTATGGTTTCTCAACCATTGTTTGAATTTTTAGTCTTTCAAGGGTAATTTTCTTTATCACTATTAAAATTCAAAGTGATCAAAAGTGTTATCAGTGCAGGATTTTTTTTTTTTTTACATTTAAATATGAACATGAATATATGAATACAGTAAAAGTAAAACTTCAAGATATATAAATAATTAAATGCATTTCTAACTATATGTGCAGATTATAAATGTAAACTATAATTATTTGAAAATAATCTAATGTCATCAAATTGCTACAAATTCTCCACTGCATTATACATTAGATAAACAACGCACATTTACTAATAATGATAATAATTATGCACAACTATAGTGATTTAAACCTGAGGAAAACACCTGCCTATAGCCTATGCATACATACAGCTGTCACAGAAACTCATATACAGGGATAAACAGCACATGTGTCCCACTCTGTTTAACTTGTTACTCTGGGTTTGGTTTAACAAAGGGTAATAAATATTTTCAAACACTTTTCGCAGCTGATAAGCCATCTGAGGCCCCTTATAAAAATACTGAGACGTGGGTAAACTACATTTCTGATTTATTTCCACTTGCGCTGAGCAAAGTTTAGACGGCAGAACAACATCAGACGAGCAAGGAAAAAGATTATTATCCAAAGATTATTATCCAAGGACTTTTAAACAGCACACGAAACCCGCAGAGAGATTTCGCAAACTGTTTACCGCCCTGTGCTCCACGAGCTCTGCACACCCCTTCAAACCAATGTGTAGCCCAAATAAAACACTTAAACCGAGATTTATAAACGCATATCATGCGAGAGGACTAAATGAGAAGAAAGCGAAACTTACTCAGCCCCAGAGAAGTTGTCCGCGAGCAAAATCTGTTGCGAGTTACTTTTTTCACCAGTTAGTTCATCCGGATCAACAGACTTGAGTGTTGTGGGTCTCCCGATATTGTTCCCCTCTAAAACGATGCAAAAACGTGATGAGATGACACTCAAAAATCACTCGAACATATTTTCGGGAACAATGCGTTGGAGGGTATTCAGGTAAAACGCGCTGAAAAGTGTTGACAGGGATATGTTAAGAGGGAGTGGGGGCACAGCGCGGATCCTGAAGGGTCTCACGTTGACTGCGCAATAGCCTACTTCAAGTCTCCAGCAGATTCCCAGTAACTGGTCTCTGGTATTGTCACTGGCTTGCGCCCCCTGTCGACAAATAAGACTTAGCTCGAGCAGCGAAATATAGCGGTCTCCCACTATATGGGGAGGCTGCAGACCCATGCACGCGCTGAACGCCCGCAACATCGCCGCACAGTAGAATCGAGTGAGTTTAGTTACAAGTAACAGATTACTCTCGGAAACTAATTGTCTTTTTGTTGTTTGAGAAAGTCAGCACTGGTCACCACTTTTGTTTACGTATTTTGGCCAGAGAGAGACAGCTCTTTTCAGGGTTTTTGAAAGAGAATCACTCTTTTGGTGACTTTTTGGGTGAGCGCGCATTTCAGACAACTCAGGGCATTCATTTTGGTCACCCAATGGGGAGAAAGAACTCTAATGCTCTTTTTGGTCATTCAATTCGACATTTTTACGAGAGAACCAGAATTGGCCACTCTACAGCAACGCGGTCAGTCTTTTGGGTCACTTGGAAGAGAGAGCACATTCATTGGCCACACTTGTAACTTTGGTCACACTTTTCTGTTACTTTGTTACTTTTGGCCCCAAAAGTGCATATAGCCTGTACCTTATTGAAGAAAGCACATTGAAATCACTGAATTCATACAGTGTGTTTGTGTCACATAAAAATATTGAAAATACTGCATTGAAAAAAAATAAATAAATGTTGGTTTAACTTAAAAAAAAGTTACGAAACGATCGTTCATTTTAAAATTTAAACAAATGTGGCATGTGAACAAAAGCTCTTGGACGAGAGTGTCTAACTTCACTCTTATAGAAATGTCCTTGCCCTTATTGTTCATCTCAATGATGTGCATCACATGTTCGGCCAACACATTTGTTGTTGTAATTAATTTCAGGTCAGGACTGAGGTCACATTCTCAAACTACTGAATACTGTACATATATTGTGCATACATATATGATCATCATTATTTTGGAGCTTTTTTTTCACAGCATGAAGGTAAGATCTTAAATGGATGAACTTCTCATTTTAAAATCTTCCCAGACATTTGTGTCCACTTCAACCATTAGCCTACAATGCTAATAACTTTTGTTAAGTAAATCCACTTCACCAACTAATTACTCTTCAACAGTGATGCTATAGAAATATACAGAGCTATACCACAAAAACAGTTTTCAAAATTCTAAAGATGCATGCACGCTTGTTTCTCTAGGTCCATGGTTGTGAAAAGTTGCAAAATGAACATGCAGCTGGAAGGGAAATTGGCCTTCAGATGGACCTTGAAAAGTGGTATAAGACAGAAATACTTGTAAACGCCTTCCTTATCTCACAAAACATGATCTTTTCAGGCTCCAAATGAAGCGTAATTCACTTTGTTTGTGTGACACCAAGCTAACGTATTTACCTCAGTGTCACTAGCTAAATCTGAATTGGATTAGAAGGGCTGTTGTGCAGCCTGTTGGCTTGTTGGACACAGCACTGGTTTTAAGTTCCCTGCGGCATTGAGATAAAAACAAAAGGAAAAGGAATTATTGGACAGGAATAAGACACAAAACGACCTCCGTTTACATTCAGCAGATCGACTGTTACCCTTTTTTTAGGTATCTGACAAATGCCCCAAAGGCACTTTTCTTTAGATGTAAAAATCTCGAAATTTGATATAGCATAGACAGGTAAATCAACAGTTAAAATGCTAAAAATCTAGATCCATTTCTTGAATGTGATTGGCTGAATTCGTTTTAAGAGTGATTTTTCAAACACATCGACTAACACAATTCATTCAAACATTTTTTTTTAACTCTAAACAGTTCCGAAACAAATAAGGCGAGTCATTGAATCATTAACTTAGCCGGCTCTTGGGGAAAAAAAAACAAAACAAAAAAACTGATTAACTCAAAACACCACCATTGTGTTTCTCAGAGAAGGTTAAGAGAACTTAAAAGGAGTAGTTCACTTTTTTTTAAAAACTTTGCTGATTATTTACTCACCCCCATGTCATCCAAGATGTCCATGTCTTTCTTTCTTCAGTCAAAAAGAAATTAAGGTTTTTGATGAAAACATTCCAGGATTTTTCTCCATATAATGGATTTCAATGGGATTTCAAACGGTTCAAGGTCCAAAAGACAGTTTCAGTGCAAACTGTAAACTGTTCAAATGGCTTTAAACGATCCCATACGATGAATAAGGGTCTGATCAAGCAAAACAATCGCTCATTTTTTTAAAAAAATAACAAAGTTTAAGTTTTATAAGCTCAAATGGTCACCTTGCTCTGTTCTGTGATGTGCGATCGTGACCACCATGCATGTCCACCTTTTAGAACACTGTGATGCGTGTTCGTGACTCTCCTATTCGAACTCGTATATCAAAATGAACGAATCTTTTGTCGTGTCATTTGCCCTTTGAAAAGTTTGCACTGAAACTGTCTTTTGGACCTTGAACTGTTTGGTTCCCATTGAAGTCCATTATATGGAGAAAAATCCTGGAATGTTTTCATCAAAAACCTTAGTTTTCAGTCTAACTTTTAGAATGACTTGGATATCTTGGATGACATGGTGGTGAGAAATTATCAGCAATTTTTTTTCCAAAAGTGAACTACTCCTTTAACTCTCAGAAAACAATGAATCAGGACAATTTAATGAGCTCTAGTGCAATGTTTATCAGCAAAAGGCCATGAACTCAAAAGAGATGTTTTTTCACACCCACTGACAGTCTCAGTGGGAGAGTAAAAACAAAGCAATCAGCATCCCAGTCATTATTTTAATATAGTATGCAAATGAAATGTTGTCCTCATATTTTCTTGCACACGGATGATCCTAATGGAGATTAACGTTGAGGAATACAAATAAGACATTTAAATCTAATTGGAAGTGAAAAATTGGTGTGTATGAGGGGAAGGAAGGTGACGTGTGAAATATAGCCATTAGTCCAACAAACAAAAAACACTGAAACTAAAGACCTAAAAGGTGGACAAGTTATAATACAAAAATATAGCCTGTTGCTTATCTTGTGTGAGGTGAATGGTAACCGTAACAACTGGATATGTCAGGTATCATTTGAAGAGGAAATATGATTAATTATTTTCACAGACAGACAACAACAGCATTATATGCTTTTACAGAAAAATACGAGTCCATGAAAATGATACATTATCAAAAAAAAAAAAAAAAAAAAACGATTCTTATCAGAAAAAAACAACAACAATGACATGTAGTTTCTGACACACTGTGTCACCATTAAGGAAAAATCTGAGTAAACAACTCTCATGCTAACATAGGAACTGATATGTTAGTCACATTGTCCATGACCCACCTCTTTATCTCTGTAGCTCTGTTTCCAAAATGAGTCGGGTCTATGCCACAGATATTCATGCAGCTGAAGTGTTTGGCAGAGATGAATCACATTAAAGCGACCTATATGGAATTCAACCCATATATAATGTCAACATCACCAGTCTGTTTGTGGTCCAAAAAAGCCCAAAAAAACATGTTACAGATATTGCCAAAACATATTAAACATGGCTTTCATAGCCATTATTTTGCTACTTGCAAAATAAGATTGTGTTTTGATTGAACATAGTTGATTATTTTTTTCTGCATAACTTTGGGTGGAATATAATCATCTCAGGTGGTCTATTTCTGATCCAGACATGAGGACATAAACTGTTTTTGCAGAAGTAAATCACTTAAAGCACACTCAAATGACATACAAAAGGAAGTCTTATTCTGAAAATTACTTTAAAAATAATGCATTGCAATATTGTGTTACTCCCTAAACAAGTAACTAAGTAACTTTTTTATGAAAAGTAATGTGTTATGTTACTTTTGTTACATTTTCTTATCTGGGCTGGGCTTGCTTGTGTAAATTTTAATAACCAAATAAATTGCCAAATAAAGTTTACCAGAACGGGTTGAAATATTACCCAATTTCTTTTTTTCTTTTCTTTTCTTTTTTTTTGTAAATGTAAAAGCCCTTTCACACTTAAGGGACTTTTCACACAACACTGTTTTCAATTAAATATGTCAAACTTTTTATGCGTTTTGGTTGTTCATTTACATGACAACTGTGTTTTGGTTGCCTGAAAACGCGAAGTTTTGAAAACTGGTTTTAAAATGCAAGGTCTCCATTAGAGCCAGACCGATATATCGGCCGGTATTAGACATTTTCCAAACTATCAGTATCGGCAGTTATAATGGCCGATAAATGAATATTTCAAAAATAAATATAACTCCTTGGCCTGTTAAATTGAAAATGTATGTTTTACAATTTGCAGTATGATGTTATTGCTAAATTATGGTTCATCATAGACTAGCTAACCTGACATTGTAATTATAAGGTAGCTTATAAGGCAATGTAGGGACTAATTATTATTTTATTTATTAGAACTTTAATATATTTTGGTGTTCCTCTGTTCTGTTCTGACAATAAAAGAAACAAGTTTCTTTTTAAAATGCTTGATCATATTATTTTAGTCAACACTCATAAATAACTATATATAACTATGTTAGGGAAATCTGTTAATGTTTTGTTGCACGTTTCTGAAAAAATAAATAAATAAAAAATATCAGCCGATATATCGGAATATCGGATTTTAAAACCGAAAAATATTTGTATCGGTATCGGCCTTCAAAATCCTTTATCGGTAGGGCTCTAGTCTCCATGTAAACAACAAAAATGTGAATGTCTGAAAACAATGACATCATGCACATGCATATTACCTGTTCAAAGTGTTTCATTGCCTAATAGCTTGGCAGCAGAATACAGCGGGTTTTTTTTTGTTGTTGTCGCTTTGCCAGTGTGAATGGGGATCATCTCTACTCTATGCAGAAAACTCAAAGGGAAAACATCTCCATTTTCTGCATTTCATTGTGAAGAAAAAGTACATACTTTTGAGTGTGTAGCAGAAGAGTAGACAACCTTTGAGACATATCACGTCATAAAATAGCGTCTGTAATGGTTGTAGACATCCTGTTACATAAACTGACCTGTCAATCATCTTGTTCGAGATAAAATCCTCCACATTTAATTTAATTTCCAACTGTATCGGAGAGAAAGGAAGTTGCATGTTGATCTGCCAGTCCTCTTACAAGAGGTTCTTTTGTACTGCGTAATATCTTACGCTATAGGGGAAAACCTCTTTTCCACAAGATATTCAATCCAAAAAATATCCTTAATTTTGAATTCATGTAAAACACATTGCGGCAGCATCCAAGCATAGGCAAGACGGCTCGTGTGTCTATTGGCTGTCCTGCGGCAACTGCAGCAGCCTATCGAGTGATGCCCTTGGTGACGTCAGATCCAATGGGTCCGCTTTGTGCCCACTACGTCACGTCCCACCGAGACCGGCGTGGCCTGGGTCTATAAATACAGCTTGATGGGCTGCTCTCATAGGCCGTGGCGAGCCTCGCCTTGAGTGGATAGCGCCCGCGCAGTTTTTTAAAAATCATTAGTATGGTTGAATAGAATCATAGAAAGTCAGCAGGAAAAACTTTGGTTAAATGAGTAGTTCACTTTTGAAAAAACTTTTGCTGATAATTTACTCACCCCCATGTCATCCAAGATGTCCATGTCATTCTTTCCTCAGTCGAAAAGAAATTAAGGTTTTTGAAAAAATATTCCAGGATTTTTCTCCATTTAATGGACTTCAGTGGGAACCAAACAGTTCAAGGTCCAAAAAGACAGTTTCAGTGCAAACTGTTTAAAGGGCTTTATCACGCGAAACGGTCGCTCATTTTTAAAAAAATAATAACGTTTAAGTTTTATAAGCACAAACGCTAATCTTGCTCTGTTCTATAAACCACGTTTGTGACTCTCCTGTTCGAACTCGTTCATCAAAATGAACAAATCTTTTCACGAACATGCATCACAGAACAGAACAAGGCGAGCATTTGATCTAATAAAAATTAAACTTTGTTATTTAAAAAAAAAATGAGCAATCGTTTCACTTGATAAGACCATTATTCATCGTCTGGAATTGTTTAAAGCCCTTTGAACAGTTTGCAGTTTGTGCTGAAAGTGTCTTTTGGACCTTGAACCGTTTGGTTCACATTGAAGTCCACAATATGGAGAAAAATCCTGGAATGTTTTCATCAAAAACCTTAATTTCTTTTCGATTGAAGAAAGAATGACATGGATATCTTGGATGACATGGGGGTGAGTAAATTATCAGAAAAAGTTTTTTGAAAAGTGAACTACTCCTTTAAAGGGACACTGTGCAGGAACTCCGTTTTTGTCAAGTAGGCTACTTGTATTTAACGTTACTGTTGTAAATACCACTCACGCAGAGCGTGACGTGTTACATTGTATACAACAGTATTGAGTTTAATTTGTATTGTGTTATATGTCGTTAGTGGTGAGAATTATAGATCCGACTATTATCCCCATGAACTTAATGGCCCAGTGGCACATCTTTTGCCAAGCGTGTCAGAGGTTCTGGGTTCTAATCCGCACTAGTGGTAGTTTATTTTCCTCTGTTTATTAGTTGTTGTATATCAAGCAGGGACACGTTTTTTTTTGTGCATTAGGTTTTGTGATTTCACCGTAACATAGAGAGTTTCTCAGTCTCCACAATGGATTGAAGCACATGTCTGTGAAGACTGTGCTCGTCACTACAAAACACTGTATTAGTGAGCACTTTGGTCACTTGATTTCAAAAACAAAACATTTCAGATCGCCTCTTATTTAACAGGCCACCAGGGGGGAGGCCACCATTCAACCAGAAAGAAGTCAGATAACCATTTCAATAACTCCAAAGCTGTTCAGTTGAGCTAAAAAAAAAAAAAAAGACTGCATAGGATGCCTTTAATAAAGTAAGATTAAATTTCATTAAGGTATACCTTTTAGAATCATGTTTGCATTTCTCTGTTTTTATTCATTTTAAGGAATACTGAATCTGTTTTTGCGCAAGTGAGCTGAGTAAATGCCTGTACATTCAGTGCAATGCATTTATTACAATAACCATCATGTTTAACCTACACTGCGCACACAACGCCTCTGAACCATGTCTTGCGTTACTAATTTAAAAAAAGTAATTTTGTTGTAAATTTAAAAGCAATGTGTTACTTTCTTGTTAATCCATTTATCTATCTATCTACTAATGTTTGTTATATCTATCTAATGTTTGTTATATCTTGAGTGTACAAAGATAAGAAAAGAAAAGATACAAGATTTGGAAATATATATTTGAGTTACAATTAAAATAGGCAGCAATTGTGATGAATGCATTTCATAATAATCCATATAGACAAAAAAAGTCTTCCAAAAAAAGATTTCAGGCCTGTCTTTTATGGCTGTGAAGAATGCACTTTATGTGTTGCTATACATGCAATCATGACATGAATGAGTTGGAGAGGGACGCGTGGAGGAAAACTGTTTGCAAGAGCTTCTGGAGAGATGAAAGGGAACATTTTAATGCAGAAAGGTCAACACTTTCTCCATTATGTCAAATTTCATTACAGAGCAGACAGCCATCTCTTAGACTTAATGCATCCAAATTGCAGCAATTACGATTTCATTTTAAAACAGACTTTTTTTTTCAAGACAATGATTATTGCTACACATAATCATTTTATGAGTAAGAGAAGTGATTGCAAGGGAAACAATTCTGTTCTTCCTCAAAGGAGATACAAAAGGACTAAATATATTTTAATAGTTTTTCTTCCTTTCGGAATGGATTAGAGAAAAAAAAAATGCACTTAGAAATAGTCACTTGTCATTTAAAACGTACATGTCTAATCAATCAAGCACTCAACCTTTAAAATATGTTGGAAATATAAAAATCCTGCCTCTTTTCTTCAAGGAACTTCAAGGCAACGTTTATCCTCCTACCGGGTCTCATTTTTCTCAACTTCAAGTGACTCAGTTTGACAGTTTAAGCATGCTTAGTGGCAGCGTGACCTTTAGTAAGGCTGAACTTTAGGCTTAGTCTCTTAATTACTCAGTTTATCATATTACCTCTGCAAAATGCCGAAAGCATAGGCTGGCTTTCACTTTAATTAAACAGAGGAAGAGAGCAGGGCTGGGAGTCGGTGACAAAGAGAAGACAGAGACAAAGGACACTGCCCAATGGATGACCTCAACCCTGAATGAAACTGGCCAGCCGGATGATGAGGTTATACAAGGTCAATATTCTTATTGTTGTCAACCAATCTCTTAATAAAGCTGGGGCTGCTGCCTCTTTGTGGACAAAAGCGGAAATTCATAGTTCAAGAATTCAATTTTGATTGGTCGAGAGGCATTCTAATGGCAAATATCAGAGTATTTAGTCACATAGCACTGGAACTTGGACAAGTGAGTCAATGAAACACTCACATAACTGATTCTTTTAAAAACACTGATTTATGATTCAGTTGGTTCTGCTTTGGAGCACCAGGCAAAATTCTGTATAAAATGTAAGTTGCTTATTAACTTCTTTATTGAAGTGCATGTTTCATAAAATCAACATCACAATCATAACCTTCCTGTTCTGATTTTCAGCTGCCACATCAGTCCCATCACAGACGTGTTGATATTAAAGTCGGCATGAAATCAAATTTGACAAATCTTCTTTTTGTATGTAATATTGTAGTGTTTATTATAAATGATTTATCTGTGCACTTCATTATTTTCTAAAAATGCATGAACCCTTATAATCTTTAATCAAATACATTACCCTTCCCTCCTCCATCGAAACCACCTTAAATGTAATTTTAAGAGTTTTTAAGTCAAGAATGTAGTTGTTTAAAGCTCAAATATGTGGTTTATTTACTATCTAAGTACTATCTATCTTTTATCTACTATGTAAGCTAACTAAAAACACTAAGAACGAGAAATGTTTAAATTTACAATCTACAGCTTCGGTTATATACTAGTATATGAAACATATAAGTTAAAATACATTAATGACTCGTTATAACGTACTTCAAACGTCTCTTATAATAAAGCGATTTTCTCTAATTTGTAACCAGGCACTAAAGCGTTTACCCATAAAACTAGCTTTGAACCAATCGGATCGCTTGGGTCCTAAGGTGGGACCCATCTCTTCAGGGGGACTCATCTCTTCACCACACCGCCTCTCAGAGAATCGCATTCAAATCTGCCTTCATTTTGTTTGCAACGCCAATCAATTCCCGAAGGTCGAAATCAAGCCCTACATTTTTTTTTTCTAATTTCAGAAGCCGTTTCACTCGGATATACGTCACGACAAGGAAAAAAATGACAATATCAACTTCCATTTCATGCCGACTTTAAGTACAATTGCACGCTTGTGTAATATTGCTTAATCATAATCCCGAACAACATAAGTATATTCACCTGTTTAAAAAACAAATATATATATTTTTTTATTTCACTTAAAAAAAAATAAAACAATTAAAATACAACATTAAGACAAAACAAAAGGTCAGTTGTTGAAAAGTGCAACCAGATCAGTTCAATTAAATATGTAGATAACTTCCATGGTATGACTTTAGCCACCACCAAAAGATGCATTTGTATCTTTTGGATCAAAAGATGTTTAAAAAGCATCTATAGTACATCCAGCAGTATAATGTCAATCTTGGTAGTTACAGCTTAACTCCAGACTGCCTCAGCAACCAATCAATGCCATCCAGCAGTCCTGTCAGTGTTTCTGCACTTGTGTCCTGAACCTATAGCATCACAAAACATATTGAAGCCTTATAGAACATGTTGTGGAAAAAAATTATGTTTTAGTTTTCATTAGACATTGGGGTTTTCTTTCGATTCAATCATGTATTTCTCTCCTGGAATGAAAAGCAGGAACAAACACACACACATACATAGTAAATGGTCAGGAAGAGCCTTTGAACTCTTTAGCATGGGCAATCAGTAAAACCCAAGGGAGGCTAGAATGATCACTGTCTTCAGAAAGACAGAGGGCCCTTTGACCTCCCAGGTGTTGTACCAATGTATTTCTAACCAACCAGCTAGATCTGGTTTTATTGGGGGGAGCAGAAATTTACAGGAGAAGTGACTTTGCAGAAGCTGTCTGGTTGCTGTGTGATTCAGGTCCAAAGCCTCCTTTAAAAGAATAAACATCTTTTAAAGCTACACTGTGTGATTTTTACCCCATCTAGCGGTGAAAAGGTATATGACCATCCAGTGAATATTAGTTCCTGTTCCTCTCAATTCCGATTTTTGTTTTAACTACTACGGTGGCCAATGTAGTCCAAGATTAACATGGCTTCCAGTTCGAGCTCGTCCATGAGTGTTAACTCAAACGTAAATGCAAAAGGCGAAGCTTGAATTAAAGGGTCTGTCCCTCTTTGGCTAATGTACTTTCAACATGGAGGTGCAACATGGCGACCGACATTAAAACCCCTTTACCCGCATGTATTTTCAATGGCATATTATACACTCACGAGAGTACTTTATTACTTGAACGAAGTAAATATACATTAATGAGCACACATATTTTTGAACGAACTAAGTGTTTTTAGCTAAACTAAAAGAGTTACACTTTGTAGCTTTAAACTACAATTTGAATCTTGATTTCTCTTATGCTGTGATGCTGTTTGTTTGATTATTGTTTTTGCCACAATAAACACAACATTCATTTCTTATCACAAATTATTTTCTAGATTTTCTGTCTGATGTCTTACCATCCAGGGGTTCGGCAGTGAGCTGAGGTGAAGCTGATGGGCAACGGTCACACAAGGTATTCTGCGTCTGTCTGCTGTTTCTCTAGACACACAGGAGAGCACCAGGATAGGGCGGAACACTGCACCCATCACAGGGTCTAACATAACCCTGATCTGGGAACTTTCCTCCTCCCACCCTCTGTCGGCTATATATGAAAGAGAGATATACATTATAAACTGGAATATCACTTCATATCCTTACAGTGCTTCAGGCTAATTGTATAATTGTCAACATAACTAATTTAATGCATTGAAGAACAAGCTTCTAATTTAAAAGTGGGCACATCTTACCTCTTTCTGTCTCAGCATTTGCCACAAAGATGAATCCATTCATGGCTTGGCAAACTTGATTAAACATGGGCATGAGGCTTAAGGGCATGTTGGACTCGCTATCCTCCTGATAGACAAAGAGTTTACTGCGCAGACTGAGGTGCTCCAGGCGAGCTCTTTCTCGCTCCGTCCTAAATCCCCAGACACAGACTCTCATTCATACAAACTGGATTATGTGACACATTTACACTTTATCTCAGAATGATATTAATGATTTAAAATTTAAGCAAATAAAAACATGAGCAACTTAAACTACCATTCATAATGTTAAGATTTGTATCTCAAATAAATTCTGTTCTTTAGAACTTCCAATTCATTAAACAATCATGAAAAAATGTTTCCACAAACGTATTTAAAGGAGTAGTTCACTTAAAAAAAACTTTTTTTTTGCTGATAATTTACTCACCCCATGTCATCCAAGATATCCATGTCATTCTTTCTTGAGTCGAAAAGAAATTAAGGTTTTTGATGAAAACATTGCAGGATTTTTCTCCATATAATGCACTTTACTGGTAACCAAACGGTTCAAGGTCCAAAAGACAGTTTCAGTGCAAACTGTAAACTGTTCAAAGGGCTTTAAACGATCCCAAACGATGAATAAGGGTCTTAACAAGTGAAACAATCACTCATTTAAAAAATAAATAACAAAGTTTAAGTTTTATAAGCTCAAATGGTCACCTTGCTCTGTTCTGTGATGTGTGTTCATTACTCTCCTGTTTGAATCTTTTCCTGAGTCAATTCGTTCATTTCATTCGCTGAATGAACCAAATGACACGAAAAAACATTTATTCATTTTGATAAACAAGTTCGAACAGGAGAGTCACGAACATGCATCACAGAACAGAGCAAGACAAGCATTTGTGCTTATAAAACTTAAACTTTGTTATTATTATTTTAAAATGAGCGATCGTTTCGCTTGATAAGACCCTTATTCATCGTCTGGAATCGTTTAAAGCCCTTTGAACAGTTTGCACTGAAATTGTCTTTTTGGACCTTGAACCGTTTGGATCCCATTGAAGTCCATTATATGGAGAAAAATCCTGGAATGTTTTCATCAAAAACTTTAATTTCTTTTCGACTGAAGAAAGAATGGCATGGACATCTTGGATGACATGGGGGTGAGAAATTATCAGCAAACGTTTTTTTAAAAGTGAACTACTCCTTTAACTGTTTTCAAAATTGATAATAATAAGAAATGTTATTAAAATATAAAATAAAATATATTAAAATAAACTATATATATTATTATACTAAAATATATTAAAATAGTAGACCGTTATTTTAAATTGCAATAATATGTCACATTATTACTGTTTTTATTTTATTATTGATCAGATAAATGCCTAAGATATTTATTTCAAAAATAAAGATTTAAAAGAAATCCTACCGACCCCCAGTAGTGTATATTTCTAACACTTCTGAATGAGAACAAACTATCCTCTTCCTTACCTGTTAGTCGAATATAAAGTCACAATGTTGAATCTGTGCTGATCTTTATCCAGAAAACTGATTCCTGATCCAATGCCTGAAAAAAAGAATAAATCCCATCAAGCAGGACAGCAGAAAAAGCAACCACAGCACACAACATTCATTTATTCAGTTAAATAACCAACTTGAATAAACTATAAGTAATTGCAGGGTACCATCAATCTGACGTTGAGGTATTCCTGCTATAGGAAGTACATCAGGGGAATTCATGATGGTGGTCATGAGAGAAATCTCTAACTGCTCAAGCCCCGGGCCGAACATGGCGAACTGTGGCTCTGCAACCGTTACGAAGGACTGGAAGAAGGAAGTCACAGACTCAAATGCTGCCCTGGGTTGGTGTCGCCACTGGTTTCGACAGGCCGGGCAGATGCGTAAATACCTGTGTGTGCCGTGCCAAAGATAATATATTAGTACACAACATAAACAGAGCTGCTCCCAGAGCTAATTATTTCCGATATTAAAGTGCCATCTGCCTCAGCGTTAAGCACTTACTCCGCCATATAATCAAACTGCATCTGAGAGTCATCCAGCACAGCTGAGCCAGTGAGCTCGACATGAGGCACTGATAAATGGTCAACTGACTGCCAGAGCGGCATATCACGCAACAGGAAGTACTTCCACAGGACAGGGTCTCGAACCATTGACCGCCAGTAGGTACTGGTCCCTCCCAGTCTGCAGAGGTCTTGCGGGGACAGGAAGGTCATAATGAGAAACTGCATGTCAACCTGTGTGTTTAAATAAGGAAGACAAAAAAAAATGTGTTTTGGAATATTTTTTAAAGAAATAGACCGGTCATAAATTTTGAGTTGGTAAGTTTTTTTTAAAAATGTTTTTGAAAGAAGGCTGGACCAAGGCTGCATTTATTTTATAAAAAATACAGTAAAAAACAGTTATGTTGTGAAATATTATTACAATTTAAAATAACTGATTTTTATTTGAATATATTTTCTGGTAATTGTAAATCAGAATTTTTTTTAGTATCATTAGTCAGTGTCTCATGACCCTTCAGAAATCATTCTAATATGTTGATTTGGTGTCCAAGAAACATTTCTTATTATTATCAATGTTGAAAATGTTTTAAAATGTTTTTTGATGAGTATAAAGTCGAGCATTAATATACAAATCTTTTGTAACAATACAAATGTATTTACTGTCACTTTAGATCAATTTAATGCAATCTTGCTGAAGTATTAATTACTCCCTATCGTCTGAACTGTAGTTTAAATAACACTAATAATAACAATGATAATTTAGAGACATGTTCCAGTCTGCAGTTTGGCTGTTCCACGGCTGTTCCACCTCTGCTGCTGCCTCATGCCTGGCTGAAATAGCCAATAGTGGTTATTTTAGCATGGAGGACGTGAGGACGGAGCTCAGAAGATTGTGCCTGGCAAGTCAGCTGGACCAGATGGACTACCACCGAGGGTGCTGAAGGACTGAGCTGCGGAGTTGGCGGTTCCTCTGCACACACTCTTTAATTGGAGTCTCCAGAAGAGTCAGGTGCCGAAGCAGTGGAAGACATCCTGCATTGTGCCAGTGCCTAAGGGGGTGACCCCTTCCAGGGTCAAGGATTACAGACCAGTGGCCTTGACGTCTGTGATTATAAAGACCCTCGAAAGGCTCCTCCTCCGGCTCCTGGGCCCACAACTACAGCATGCACTTGACACCTTCATCGAGCCCTCTCTTTTCTCGATGCGACAGGGCGGTATGTGAGGCTGAATTTTTTTTTATTTCACAAGTGCATTTAACACCATCCAGCCTCAGATTCTGAGAGGTAAACTTGAGAATTTGAGCTTGAAGCCTGCTCTCATCAAATGGATCATCCTTTACATGACAGAGCGGGCCGGGCACACTACTTCAGAATGGGGAAGACACAGTGTCAGACAATGTGGAGACAAGCATTAGAGCCCCCCCAGGGAACTGTGTTATCCCCTTTCCTCTTCACCCTATATACATCAGACTTCTCATACAGAACATCATCATGCCATACACAAAAAAAAATTCTAATGACATTTCATGACATGACATCTGATGTGGTGGCGGCTTGTGTGAGGGGAGGAGACGAGGAGGAATACAGGACGGTCATCTCAGAGTTGGTGACCTGGAGTAGGTGCAATGATCTCATCTTCAATAGATCCAAAACCAATGAGATGATAGTGGACTTTGGGAGGCGTAAGTCAAATCATCTACCTGTGGTAATTGAGGGGGAGGGCATTGAGGTGGTCCAGACGTACATATATCTGACTGGGAGTCCTCCTGGACCATAAGCTGGACTAGTCAGTACATGACTACATGTAAATGCATTGCAGCATACAGGAAAGGTGAGAGCAGACTCTTTTTTTTTTCTCAGGAAGCTAAAATCCTTCCAAAACTGTAATGAGATGCTGTATCTTTTTTTTTATCAGTCGGTTGTGGCCAGTGCTGTGTGTGTTGTTCTATGCGGTGGTGTGCTGGGGAAGTTGTATGTCAGCCAGGGAGGGGAACCGACTTGGCAAACTGGTAAGGAAGTGATTGTTGGTGTGATCTATCTATCTATCTATCTATCTATCTATCTATCTATCTATCTATCTATCTATCTATCTATCTATCTATCTATCTATCTATCTATCTATCTATCTACATGTAGTATACAACTACCATACTCCTCTTACTTTTACTGCAGCATGTTGTGCACAGTATGCAAATTCTCTACATGCATAGACATGTTTCAGAAAATGCACTTGACCATCCATCTCAAGTGTGATAAATGAAGTACAAGTAATAATGAGTAGCTAATCAGATGTGATATATTTTTCGTCGCATTATTTGATCAGACTACCAAATTATTATTTTTTATATATATTAAGGTAAACTTGTTGTTGACATTTGTTGAATTAAATATATAAAGTGATGAGGTGATGTGGTAATGTAGGCTACATTGACATGAATACAGTTTCAGTAATCAGTATGTAGGTAAGCTAGTATTACATTTCGAACATGTGCCGTCTACTTTTAATAAAGCATCAGGTAAATAAATACTTATGAAATTCAAAGAATCGTGCCTTACCGACAGATTATCCAGAGAGGGGCACGTGACGTCATCAATTGTCCCCTGAACATCACTTTGCTCATCTTTTTGTCGTCTTGTATCAAAAAACCTATCTCTAATACTCCTAAGACTTTGTACGACTATAGATCGGCTCAGCATACTGACACTTATTTGTTAACAATTTATAAGACGGATTTCCATATGTAACCTTTTTAATACAGTAATTTGGTTTATTTCAGTACATGGTATTTCAATCTCATCTGTGTAATCTGAAGTATTCCTTTGGCTTTTCCCGGAACTGTCAAAGTTACACGTCTCTTATGTTATGATAGGCGTGTATGCAACGTCACATACATAGTGCATTTTGGGAATTGTAGTTTTGAAAACAAGACACTGCAATAGAAAAAACAAAAAAACAAAAAAACAAAACAAAAAACGACTAACTTACTAGGAGTGACACACAAAAATAAAAATAAAAAGAATAAGTTATCAATTTAATAATTCAAACATAAAAATGGAACAAATTAAGTAATTATGAACTAATGTTATTTATCTACATTTTAAATTCTGCACATTTATTTTTCAACTCGAAAATGATTAATTTGAACACATTTTAAAATACTCAAATGTCTATTTAATTAATTAATTTCCATTATAATGTTTGAATTATTAAATTGATAACCCTATTAAATATTGTCCATCTTGTGCCCGTTAGCCAAAGATTGCAATTAGAGTCACAATGTTGCAGATTTAGTTATAATTACTTACTTGTGTAGATCACGGACATTACTCCTGTGCATATCAAACTACATTGGTTTCCTGTACAATGCAGAATTTATTACAGTGCCGCTTTATGCTTTCAAAGCATATTAGAGTAGATTTAATCAGTCTGTATCCAAAAATGTCTTTGCATTCAAATGAACAAATGCATCTTATGGTTCCTCAATCTCACTTAAAATATAATGGTGACCTTTTCTGTAGCAGCTCCAAGGCTTTAGAATGACCTTCCTCTGTCTGTAAAACTATTTCCAACACTAATTGTATTTAAGAGTGTGCTATATTCTTTAGCATTCAAACTTTTTGTAAGTTGTTGTATGGTATAATATGTTTCATTGGTTCTGTTTGTTTTTATTATTCAATTTATTCTTTCTGTACTACACTTAGGTTCCACATCGTGGTGTTGAAAATGCTTTAGAAATAAAACTAAAGTTAAAGGATACCTCTACAGGGCAACTACTGCATGTCTGACGTTTTTGGAAATCACGCATGGAGGAAAAAAAGCCCCACCACAGTATTAATGTTAATCACAACCACCCATTAGTCATCTTTTGTGTGTTTACTTCAAACAAGTGTACACATTCAACAAAATCATATTAACCAGTAAAAGGCACTAACATTATGTAGGGTAGCTAATTACCCCAAAACTGATAGCAATGTAAGCTTTAGATCACATTAAGCACATGTCTTTGTTTTGAAAATAAATATTGTCTTATGAATATTACACCAGCACCAAAAGTGTTTGCACTTTTCAGAACTCTCAAGCTGGACAGTTAAATAAACTGTTATGTTTTTTTTTAATTGCCTCACCTTGAAGCTTTATGAATGTTAGTTGTTACTATGTTAACATTACAAGATTAGCAATGAGGGAATAAAATACAGATACAACTTGAGATCATTTGTCTGGAAACCTTTTGACAATCACTGGAAACATGAAGGCAATCAGCAACCTTTATCTATTAACACTCCAAATAACTTTTCTGGTATAACAACATCTAAATGCATGTGAAACCAAAATATCACTCGCACATTCACATTTCTTAACCCAAAATTTATTTCAATGAAGACATAAAAAAAAAAAAAAAAATGAACTTCCTTTTAAAAAGAATAATGACCAAAAGGTTTAGCATTTTAAAAGTATACTATCAAAATATCCAAATTCCCATCTCTGAACATTACATCTGGTCAAAGAAAGCAGTAAAGATGTAACTTTGAATAAGTGAGCAGAAGAGGTGTCATATACAAAGATGTTATTAAAAAGAAAAGGTCCATAATTAAAAATGGTCACGAATACTTAAATATGCAACATATATCTGCATCTCCCTCTCATCTCATTTGTACCATTTCTTTTAACATATATAAATGACATATATAAATGTAATGAACTAAAAATAAATAAATAAAAATAAAAATAAATAAAAAGTTGTGTGATGCTTCTCAGCTGGAATAACTGTTTCCTTAAACAAATAGTTATTTGTTTATATTTTACATTAGAAGTATTATTCCACATTCTCAGCGAAAACACACATCCAGAAAGCAAATCTGGACCGGAAGATAAGTGCCTTTTTTGTATTCAGTATTTTTCTTTTTTAATCTTTTTTGTTTGTTTAATTTTTTTTTTTTTTTGCTAGCTTCAGAACAATGACATTTTGTGAACCTCCTCTCCTAAAAGCTCTCTCCAGGTTTACTGTAAAATACTAAGGATCTCCTTGGCATTCTCCGTGTTCCAGCCCTGACCCTGAAGTGGCCCCTCGCATGCCAGCACATACTTATGGAGGATTTGTGTGCCAATATCTCGGAAATGAAGCCTGTCCTCTTTGCGCTCTGTGGTGTCCATGCTGCAGTCCTCATATTTCACTGCCCAGAAACACATCTCACCAATGTACATCATTGTAAGCAAGTGAGTATCAGAAAAGATACCTATTGGGGGAAAGGGTAAAAAATGGAATTAGTCAAGAATTCATTCTTCTTATTTTGAATAAAACAAATGAATAAACTAATAAAAAACTCTCGACACATATTTCCAATAAACCTCTGTTACTATGACTTCAAGAACTGTGTAATTTATTCTTTCCGATAGAAAATCTCTTTGTAATTAAACAAATATTTGCAGATACTGCATTAAAAATCTGCATCCGCAGAGACAGATTTTGAAGTCAGTGCATACGCAATAACTGGCATGTCTGGAGATTTCAGCTCCCAAATTCGAAACAAAATGCAACAGAAATCAATCAATTGGCTTTCAGTTCTAGAACAGAAAGTACATTTGCGAAGATGTACCTTCTGCCAGAAAATTGGCGGTTGCAGAGTCATGAAAAACCACACCATCGTTCAGCTTGACTGAGTTCCTCACTTGCAACATTCTCATAAGGTAACGCACACCTTCTTGAAGACACTGTGAAGACATGGAGCATTGCAACACTTACTGAATTCATGGCCACTAAAACTGGCACTGTGGAGTTAGAAGTTGGGGAAAGAACCTTAAGGAATGTGGCTTTGTTCTTCTTGATCCACTGCTTGCGCTGGTGTAGTGTGTGGCAGTACATATATAATAATGCCCCACGCCTCCAGTATAGGCATTCCAGCAGCTCCAGTCCAAGCACAGACTGCACCTGAGACAAATCAGAGGATTCACACTAGTTACTCACAGAAGAGTCTATGCCAATTAAGCTCTGAAAATAGATGTCTGTGGGCGATCAATTACGTATGCTGTGTGTGTTTAAGTAAAGAATATTTATTCTGAACACCCACTTATAGTGAAAACGTAAAAAAATGTATTGCTCAGGAAATCATCAGCAAATAATAAAACCAATGGGCTCTATGCACGGCGTTATTTCCGGTGAAGGATTAAGGATGCTCGATAACTTCCGCCGATCATAGAGTCCAATGCAATACCGAGAGTTTATATTGAATTTTATACTCCATGGTTATACTAATGAAACGTTAGTCACAAAAACAGATAAAACAGACACCCCTCGTTGTGTTTATGCTTCTTTTTAAAATTATATTAAATAAACATAACTATATATAAAATTACATCTAAACGTATGTACGTTTCGTTTCAAAGACGGGAGGACAGTAAATATTGAAGACTCTGCCATAATCCCGTTTTCTCCGGTTTTCCTCCGCTTTAATCTACACAACCGGAAATGGACGAGCATCCTTACGTCAAATGCGGAACTTATGCGTGCATATAGCCCATTGTTCCAAGAAAAGATCTTTCCCAGATAGGGAAACAACACCTCTTGAGCAGGTACCAGTCGCCCTGCTAACACCTCTGGCTCTGTCAAGTCCTGTAGTAACTGCTGGATTTTGAAAGGAGAAGTGTCCTCAGGAAACTCCTGATCTACAAGCTTGTTTTCCTCGTAGAATGTAATGTCCAAGACAACCTGTAGACATGTGGGTAAAACAATTATTTTACCCACAATGATTGCATCAAAACAATGATTGCATCAAAATTAGGGTCTGCAGAGTTTTTAAAAAAGCCTCCAAAAATGTGTATTTTTTCACTCAATTCATCAGGCTTGGGCAAAACATGGTAAGTGCACATTTGAAGTTAATGTCAAAGTTCAAGATAATACTTTTTTTTTCAGAATGACTGAAGGATACACTACACATGATACAAACAGACAGACCTGCAAATTGATTGCAGGTAGAAATAAGTATACAAGACACGTGAGAGAGACAAACTAACATATCTTCAAAATCTGTTTAAAGAAAGACAATAAAAAGACTGTTGTACCGATTCTAGGAAAATCTCCATATTTAATGAATATTAAATAATGCCTGTAATCTTTCCTTTTTGTGACTGGGTGAAATGAAATGCCAGATTACCTTTATTGCATATAAACACAAATAATATCCAGAAGAAAAAAAAAGTTATGCATAATGTGGAACTTTTTAACTATAAGCAAGCCCCAAAACACTGGGACTCTTATTATAAAATGTCTATGCCCTACTATTTCCAGCTGCTCATTCAAAAACATGAGATAATATATCCATTTACTATAATCCTCTACACCATATTAAAACATAAACATCATAATGTAAACACAGTCATAATTCAGCAGTAATGTGCGATCACTTGGCATAAATGGGTGGCATTCAATGATTGTGAATTACTTTGAAACCACAAGCCTGTAGAATGTGCAACAGTGCCATGTTTTGTCATTTATTTAACTTTTACGGTTTAATTATCACATTAGGTCATAAGATTGCCTAAAGTGTTATTTTAAGGGTTAGTTCACCAAAAAATGTAAATGATTTCATTCGTTCCAAGCCCTTAAGACCTCTGTTCATCTTCGCAACACAGTTTAAGTTATTTTAGATTTAGTCTGAGAGTTTTCTGTCCCTCTATTGAAAATGTGTGTATGGTATATACTGTCCTTGTCCAGAAAGGAAATAGACACTATTTCAGTAGTCCATGTGACATCAGTGGGTTAGTTAGAATGTTTTGAAGCATTAAAAATATATGTTGGTCCAAATATAACAAAAACAACGACTTTATTCAGTATTGTCTTGTCTTCTGGTTCTTTTGTCAATCCACGTTTAGTGAGGCTGATGATGTAAGATGCTGCTGAGCCCGAGCTTCATTTACAGTCTCTGAGGGAGATGTAAACTGCATTTTGGAAGACTTGCATTTTATTTCCTTTCTGGACAAGGACTGTATACTGTACATACATTTTCAATGGAGGGACAGAAAGCTCTCGAACTAAATCTAAAATATCTTAAACTGTGTTACAAAGATGATTTGGGCAGGCTGACAATATAAAGGTTACAGTTTGTGCCACAGTGCCATACAATATAGCAAAAATGATATTGATATAAAAAAATGATATTTAAATGATATTCAAATACTAATAAAAACAATACAATATGTCCATGTTATTAACTGTATTATTCATACATTGAACATGTTAATATATGATTAGGCTATGCTTATGAAAATTCTGCAGTGTGAGATGTGTGTTATGTGAAATACCTGTGTATAATCCTGCAGAAGTTTAGGGAGGCTGCTGCTCTCTCCTCCATGTCTATAATAGGTTTTCAACTTGTCTAGTATGGAAGAGGCATTCTGTAAGTAGTCATCATCTAGGAAGAAAAAAAAAACAATAATATATAACAGAGAGGGCATTCAACAACATAATTTACATTTGGATGTATAAGAAAAAGAGATAAGGTTATATTGTTCTGGCAAAGCTTCGGTCCTAAATGACTGTGGAATCAGGCTTTATATCATTGTCCAATGTCCATAAAAAGAAAATATTAATTATTAGCCATTTTAATGAGTGTAAATCTGTAATAAGATACCTGAAAGACAGCTTTTGGTACAAAACAACAAATAGCAACATTTAAAGGGGTGGTTGATTATGATAGTTAGTGTCTAATGTGGCTGTTTGAGCATAAACAACATCTGAAAGTTACAACGCAGGAGTTACAGAGCTGCTAACACACAGACTCTTAAAACTTCGCCCACTGTGTCGGGATCTGCAGCTCATTTACATTTAAAGGGCCAGAAACAAAACGGTGTGCTTTTGCTAACCCTCAAAAAGTGACAACTTTAACATGCTATATAAAAATATCTGTGAGGTATTTTGAGCTAAAGCTTCACATACACACTCTGGTGACATCAGAGATTTATTTTACATCTTGTGAAAAGGGCATTATACTACCCCTTTAATGTCACAATGACAAAGATGTAACTAGTGGCGCTTTTCCACTACACAGTACCAGCTCGACTCGGCTCGCCTTTGTTTGGTTTTCCATTGTGTAAGAGTTGTACCTGTACCTGCTTTCGGGTACTTTTTTTTTGTATCAAGCGAGCGAAGGAGAGCTGAGCCGATATTACAATGTGACGTGAAAACAATGCTGTCTGCTGATTGGTCAGAGAGAATCATCACCATTCGCGCGCACCATTGCACGTGCCAGATGGAGTATTCAGAATAACCCCACCATTTTTAAATAGTTTGGCCAGAGTTACTAAACTTACAATTATCACTATGCCAACTCGGAAGAATACGCCGTGGCCAAACGAAGAGGTGCAGACTTTACTTTGTTTGGTTGCCGAAGAGAGGATCCAGCAAGAGCTTGATAGGGCAATGAGGAATGAAAGGCGTCGCTATGACGACCGGGTACAATTTGGGCAGTACTGTCTGCAATGGAAAACAGAGCGAAAACCGAGCCGAGTCGAGCTGGTACTGGTAAGGGAAAAGCGCCACAGCACTGTAAAAACAACTCTGCCCTCTGCCTGAAAAGAGCTTGTTTAAAATCTTATGGGTAATTTGCTCGGTTTTATATAGCCTCCCGAGAATCATATTACTTTAATAGAATCTTATAAAGTCACCATGAAATCAAAACTTTTAAAAGTATTTAATTATTATTAAGAGTTTTATTATTATCTTTTTTTTTCTTGTTCGAGAACCCTTTTCACCTCGATATACGTAATGGGGAAAAAAAGTCGTCATGAAACGGAAGCTGTGATAATCTTTTCTTCCTTATAGTGACATATATACAAGTGAAAAGGCTTCCTGAAAAAAAAAAGCAGTCCGGTACTTGATATTGTCCATCAGGAGTTGATTGGATGGTTGTTGTTTTGTGATTTACAGGTTGTACCACCTTCATGCCAGTAAACACATCATCAGAGAAGGGAAGAAATTATATTGCAAGAAGAGGGGGGAAGTTATTTTGATTAAAGATTACGAGTACACATTCATTTATATAAAAAATTAACCATGTGCACGGATAGATCATTCATAATAAATGATAAATATAATACATAATATGACGTTTTAAAAATGTTATTTCATGGTGACTTCAAAGACAAGAATGCATTAGTATGTATGTAAACTACATATGACTATCAGGTTCTAAAAGGCCAGTGCCTTTACAGTAATAGTGCAGCAATCAGCAACATTTTAGATTTTCAGACTATGACTGTTGAGTGAATATTTTTGATATAATATGACCTTTTGCCTGACTGCTAAAAAGATTGATTGTCCGTTACATTCCTTTTAGCGTTTCACAATTTGTAATATAAGGACGTTGGAAAGATATGCTAGTTATGGCTAACGTTACACCTATAATATTACCTTAAAATAACTAAAGCTACGTATACAGTGTTTTATTTAATGCATGCATTATTGTGTTCTGTAAACTGCACGACCACATGCGAATTCACTTCATGCAAACACAGCATCTAAACTAACGTTAGCTAGTCAAACATTTGAAAAATTACAGCACACAACAAACGTGATTTGCCTTTTAAAATACCGCACGTTTTAGAATGACTAGTACGATGCTCTTGTAAACTAGTTAGTCAAACATGCCCCGTATAAACAGGGTTATTGAATGGAATGGAAATATTTGTTGTGGTTCGCAGGAATGCTAACGCAGAGCGGCTAAGCTAACTAGCTAACGATGACAACAACGGGCTGATTCGCCCAACTAACCTCACTTTCTATAATAACGAGAATCTGGTTTTACACATTTGACGCCACGATTCCCGGTTACCTGGTTTCTCGGTTCGAAGTGTGGCACACTTGTTATCTAACTCAAAAATCCTCCTCTCCAGCTCGACGCTTCGTCTGTAGTCGTCGGCCATGACTGCAAACGACAGTCACGTGACGAGCGCGCGATTGCTCACGTGCGGGGGATTACTGGGATGTTTTGTTCTTTCGTTTCATTCATAAATGGGACCCCTGGCACTTACTTTCAAACAGAAGCTTACTTTTTCCACCCGTATCCAAATTACCCCAAATTACAATATTCGGTGTTTGATAACAGTGAATTGAAATTAATGTCGTCGGCAGTAGTGATGATGGGAAGTCCGATTCATTTCTGCGAATCGGTTCTTTTGAACAATTCAGTTAAAAGAACCAGTTCAAAGAAAGATTCATTAATTATTTTCGGTTATGACGTAATTATGCACCACGTGCCGTTGTGCTTATTATTGTATTGATGAATTTATCTTGTATAATTTTATTTGTTTTTATTGTATTTTGTAAGTCTGCATTCGGCCTGGCTGTTGTCATTGTTGTCATTTTTCTTTCTTCTCCCTGTTATTGATTGTTATTCTGTTATATTGGAACTATTTGTTTAAATACAAACCTACTCTATGAAATAAAATTATGAGTAGTGTATATACACATTTAGAATCTTTTTTTTTCCTATTTACATAAAAAAAATACTAGAATTAATTTACTTGACTGCTTGACTGAAATATTTTTCAGTCAGTTTTATGTGGGTCGTTTATGCTGTACGCTTAAAGCAAATACTGTTGGTCTGTTCACTGAGTTGCTTTATCTGGACCACTGAAAGTCGGTCATGTACTAAAATTTCTGGTGATTAAAGTGAGTTGTTGAATCTGGAACCACTCCGAAAGATTCAGTACGGTACTGAAATGAATCATCCAGACATGTCTGATGAACGACCGACACAATAAAAAAAAAGATCCGACTCATTAGAATGAATCGGAAATCGTTAGATGGCAGTGAGAGAGTTAAATGCAAATAAGCTAATCGAGCCTCCGACACTCCTTCGTTTACCTCATCCCCCGGCTGTCTGAGATCAACGAGGCATTACTGTCACCATCATTCACTATACACAAAATTAGGCCTGTAATTTTCAGACATGGCGACTTTTAAAGCGCTAGGTAGAGCGGAGAATGTGATCCTCAGGAACGTGACAGCGACGATCAAGACCAACCTCTTGCGATTCCCCGTTGGCAAGGTCGGTGTTTAGAAGCAAAAGATGGTGCATACGAAATTTTGCATGATGTTGAACGTGTCGGTCGGTGCTTCTATGTTTGTCTTTTTTTTAGCCCTACTACCCATTGCAGAAGGAAGAGAGACGTTCAGATAGTATAAGGAAGCTATAAATAATTATATATGATGTGTTTGCTTTTGTTTGAATGATGTGTGGTAAAACTTACATATTTTCGAAGTAAAAAAATCATTTAATATAGCTAGAGTCTTCTAAAAGTGGTCATTTTGTGCTGCATTGTGTTTTAGCAAGCCATTAGCTACATCAGCACAAGATCTTGAGTCACTCTTGAGTCACTAAATTATATGTATGTTGGATTGGAAATACAAGGTCATTAAGCAATTCTGGTTTGAGGCAGAATATCTACCACAGATTTTATCAAAAACTTTAATGTAAATTCTAATTTTTTTATTTGTTATATTTAACTGTTATTTGGACAACTACCTTGACAACACTGCAAACACTATTCATTGGGCAACAGTAACCCAACTCTCATCCCAACCCCCCTCACTATTTGGCGCATTTATATCACATAACAGGTGAACAAGACTGCTATTATAACTAGTTCTCAGAACAAGGATAATAATTCTCCAGGCCCTGACCACTAAGATAGCATTGGTTTTGAAGTCATACATATGAGAGTCCCATGCTTGTGTCATGTGGCTGTGGGGTTCATGGAGTACAGTATATAGGCCTACAGACAGAGCAGAAACCTTTGAATCAATGTTTCAAGGAATAACACTGGTCATAATGGTTTCTCTTAGAACTCTGTATTTTTGTCGATTATTGTTTAGTAGTACTGCTCAAGGCGTCTATATATACATAAACAGATATTATTTATTGAGACAAATTGATAAGTGGTCAGCTGTTCCTCTCCATGTCCTTTGGAGCAATTTTGAGGTCAAACACTCACTGTTGTATAAACAAATAAAGATGAAATGGATTACTTGGCTGGACTCTCAAGGATTATTTATCACGTGAATGTCAGCATGGAAAAATCAAACTGCGACAATTCACTTTTATATGCATTATTTAGGAATCTACTGTAAATAGCTAACATTCAAGTGTGGACATCTGTTTCATTCATGCTTTTAAGTGCTTCTGAATGTCCAGCCTGTTTCATTCATTCTACTTTATGTTTGTGGTTGGCAGACGTGCGGCTGTTACTTTTCCACATCAAGTCAACGGTCCGGACGATTTTATTCGGACCCCCTAGATGCTGTCAAAGATATTCCTAACGGAGCAACCATTCTTGTGGGAGGTAACAAGGGTTATGATTTATCATAAACTCAATCTTAATCAGTAACTGTTTGCTTAGTTATTACTTAGACTACTGTTCAAAAGTTTGGGGTCTGTAGCTATGTTTTTTAACAATATTAAAAGAAGTGTCTTCTGCTCACCAAGGCTGGATTTATTGGATCTAAAATACAGTAAAAACAGTAATATTTTGAAATATTATTACAATTCAAAAGTACAGTTTTCTATGTTAATGTTTTTTAAAATGTAATTTATTTCTCTTTTGGCAAAGTTGAATTTTCAGGATCATTACTCCAGTCTAGTGTAACATGATCCTTCAGAAATCATATGCTGATTTGGTGCTAAAGAAACATTTCTTATTATTATCAATGTTGAAAACAGTTGTGCTATTTAATGTTTTTTTTTCAAATCATATACTTTTTTTGTTTGAAAATATCAATCTTTTGTAACAGACATGTCTTTACTGTCACTTTTGAGTAGTTGAATGCATCCTTGCTGAGTAAAAGCTTTAATTTCCTTCCAAAAAAAACATTAAAAAAACATTGCATTATATTATTAATACTATTTTTAATTATTAAATTAAATCTGTACAGAACAACCAGCCTGATAAATGGCTGAGGAGGTCATGCTAATAAGTATTTTTTTAATTATTTCTTTTCCTTCATTCACAGGTTTTGGGCTATGTGGTATTCCAGAGAATCTGATAAACAGTTTGCTGAAGACCGGAGTGAAGAGCCTGACCGCAGTCAGCAATAATGCAGGGTAAGCCTTTTCAGAAGTAAACAACAGCTTAAACCCAGTCAAAAACCAGTAACTGGATTAAACTTGACCATCTTTATTATCGTACACCACCAATATGCCTAACACTGAACTTCTGTTCCTCCTGGCACATTCAAACAACAGAAACAAAATACAGCAAACAACATGATTCTGTGAAAGTCTGAGCTTAATCAGAAAGGTTACTTCTGTGATTTGAGATTTAAAATCCATTTGTAGAAATTTGTAAGATGGAAAAATAACAATCGCAGTCACTCTTGATAAACATCTTCCAAGGTCACTAAGTATAGCTCCATAACATCAATTGTCCCCTAGATGTCATTACAAGAATTTATCACTTAAACCACAATGAGAATGTGTGCGCAACTGACCACAAATAGAAAGAGATTACCTCTAGACCTACTGGTAAATACAGAACACAGCGTGCACAAGGAGAACAATGATAAAGATTCCTTCTTAGAAAGAGTAAACGTTTTGTAAATGTAGTTATACAGTCTAATTTACTGTCTTATATGGACGTTGATGTTTGGTTTATTGCTGCTATGTTGCAGCTGCTCTGAACATGTGACTTGACACTGATCTATGTATAGGTCTTTCTGTGCTGGCATTGTCCCAGGTTGGTTATGACTACATCTTTGCATAATCTCTGAGAGTGGGCCAGTTATGTTATTTTGAGTTTTTTGTATTTCCATCATGACCAGAGTGAAGCCAGTGTAGGTTGCTGCTGAAGAAGTCCATTCTAATCATTTTAGTTAGGCTTAAATAGGAGACTGTGTATGTTAAATATGCAAACAATATATATATATATATATATATATATATACACACCATTTATTTATGTCAACTCCTTTAAAACAGACATGCATGTCAAACTAGTAAAAGTGCCCTTTTTAATTCAATACATCAGGCTTTTTTTGGAAAACCTCAGAGGAAGTTTTTCGTTTTCTAGATAGAAATTTCCCCTCTGATTCCCTTGAAATTTGTTTCCCTTCCATCTTGACTGTTTGAAGCCCGCTGTTCTTGAATGCATTGTTTGTTGTAACTTGTTCTGTGAGTTCTGAATCTCTGTGGTAAAAAAACTTCTGGTCTACCACAAAGAGGCTGCTCAGTGAGCCTGTAATGTGAAACTTGTGTCACAGCAGTGTTTGCCATTAGCATGCGTTGCTTGCACAGGAGGAGTACACTGGGTCTAAACATGCATGCGCACAGAATCGTCTCAGTCTCAGAGCGTGAATAGTGAATTTAGTTCTCTTTCACGTCTTGTGCTTGTACGGACTAATTCAGACAAAATTGTGTAAAAACGCCCGTCTTGGCGTAAGTCAGTTATCTCAAGTGAACAGTATATTCAAAATGGAATCCATACATTCGGTCTTGAAGGGAGAGTAGTCTAATAAACCTGCTTCTTTGTTTTAATGTTAATCAAACAAATTGAATGAATGGGTGAGCACACCCTGTTTGTCTCACAAACACCTCTTCCAGCAACAACCTGGTTTTCTCAGGAGGTCTCCCATCCAGGTACTAACCAGGCTCAGTCCTACTTTGCTTCAGTGGGCAACCAGTCTTGGGCTACAGGGTGTAATGGCTGCTTAAACAAATTAACATCAAATCCCAAACCCAATCCTCAGCACTGAGCCCTGCAGGAGCTACTCTAAGTATGCTAGTAAATGACAGATCAAATATGAACAGTAAAAGTAACAGAAGCTCATACAATACATTTTAGCAGGCTTAATTAAGCATGAAAATAACTGAAATAAATATATATTTGATTAACAAATTAAGCCAACTAATATGATTTATATTCTTTAGGTTTCTCTAGCCAATATTTACAAAAAATTACAAATGCATTGAAAATACAGGTATCGGTGAGTACCAAAAATGAATGTATCGGACTCGTTCTGGAAAAAGTGGTATTTGTGCATCGCTAAAATTTATTCTAAATTTATGAAAAGGCACTTTGCGGCTTTATAATTGTGTTAAAGTTATATTTCATCTTATCACGACTATATTATGTACTACTATGTTATATATTTTTTCCATTAACAACCCTGCTGATACTTTTAAAATGTTGCATGCTCATTACCTTAGAGATTGTGCGCTGAATTGTTGACTTTTTTCGCCCTGTCTCTATACTGTTTTTTTGCTTACTAGTAGAGAAGTATGCTTATTTATATGCATGTTTTTATGAGTAAATCAGTTAATCATTCATTTTAACAATTTTCTCAAATAAATAAATTAAAAATACACAATGGTTTATTTTTCTTTGATTTGCTTTGATCTTTTTTTCATTGGCAGAGCCAAAATCACTCATCATTTATGTTTTTTGAGCTTTTTATGCAATTTTGGAATCAGTTTGTTTTACCTCAGTAAATATTAAGCACATACAGTAATACGGCCTTGAGAACTTCTCTTAAAACTAGTCTCTAAACACACACACAAAAAAGAAAAAGGCTTTGTCACTTATCTGGCGGGAGAAAAAGTGAAAAAGACACATTAGAGTTAATGAGAACATGACGTGACACAGTATGCATCTAATTGCAACCTTTCTCGGTCCATTGAATGAGTCGTGACATGAAGATTCTGTGCTCCCTGTTGATCGAATTAATTTTGAAAATGTACTTGAACTTATAAAATGTCTCTATTCACATTCACCAAACATTACCCCCCTCGTGTTTCACCGGTTTTAACAGTGTTAAAAATGTCCAGATCTACACTACTGCACATTTTCATACCTCAGTGCCTTTCAAGTCTCAATAAGTCATGCTATTTGTTAATGAATGACAAAATCAGTTTTGAGTCACTACTTCTGTAACTGTGCCAAGATACTGCACACACTGAATTGAAGTCTGAGAGAGCTGTAAGATGTTTCATATGTTTCTAGCAGTAAAAAGGAGTTTTGTGCCCTTTGTCTTTGTATTCTTGCGTGTTGTGAATTTTAATGACCTGTTTGCTACAGAATGCTCATTGGACACTGGTTTTAGACCAATTTAGGGAATAAGTGCAACTTTTCCAACAATAGCTCATCCTAAATTGGACATTGGTTTTCTGGAAATATAAATTTGTTTGTTTGCAGTTAGGCATTATCTGAAGGTGGTGTGCCTAGTGGTTAACAATCAAGATTTGCAGCAGAAAGTTTGTAGATTCAAACCCTCTTTTTTGAAAGAATTGATAATTTTTTCAGAAAGGATGCATAAAATTGTTCAAAAGTGACTAATGAAATTTTATGTTACAAATAAATTCTATTTTCAAATAAATGTTCTTTTGAACTTTCTATTCATCAGAGAATCCTGAAAAATTGCTTCGCAATATCCACAAAAATATTAAGCAGCATAACTGTTTTCAACATTTATGATAATCAAATCAGCATATTAGAATGATTTCTGAAGGATCACATGACACTGAAGACTGGAGTAATGATGCTGAAAATCACAGGAATAAATTATATTTTTAAAAGTAAAATTTTTTACTGTATTTTTAACTAAATTAAAAAAAGCTTTGGTGAACCTCAAAAGCATTAAAAACAATCTTACCAACCCCAAACTTTTGAATGGTGCTGGACCCTAGGAATACAATTTGAAAGTTTCAGTTTCCCAGCCAGGTTGAATTGAGCCAATCAACTTGAGCTGTAAATGTCATGTGGTTACTCATTCAAGACCCATAAGACGATGACATCGGGAAGTTGTGATGTTGCCAATATCACCAAGTACGCACACAGTCTCACCTCTAGTGACTGTCCTGATCTGTGACGTCAATAGTTGTAGATAAGGAAAAATATGATTTTGAATAAAGTGATAATAAAATAAATTAGTTGTGTATTCACCGAATTGGTAGAAATATATTGCAGAAGGACATAATTTAGTAGAGCCCGACCGATAAAGGATTTTGAAGGCCGATACCGATAGTGCCCAACTCAACGAGTGTTGTCAACAGGAACGGTGTAGAGTGCCCTCTGGTGGACAAACTATACAACTCCAACACTCATGACATGGTTCAAGCGTGTTTCGTCCGTTTTTATTTTATTTTTGAAATATTCATTTATCGGCCATTACAACTGCCGATATCGATAGTTTGGAAAATGCCTAATATCGGCCGATAATATCGGTCTGCCGATATATCGGTTTGGCTCTAATATTTAGCTATAGTTTTTCATCTTTTGTATGTTTTAAACAGAGTGGATGACTTTGGCCTGGGCCTGCTCCTTCGGACCAAACAGATCAATCGTATGATCTCATCATATGTGGGGGAGAATGTGGAGTTTGAGAGGCAGTATCTCTGTGGTGAGCTGGAGGTGGAGTTGACCCCACAGGTGAGACCATCCTTTACCCGTAACTTCAGAATAAACACTTAACCTTTCTTCTCAGTGGCAAGTTTATTGCCCAGTTTATGTATGCTAAAGATTTTATAGTACCATTCTTCCGAAAAAACTCCAATCAGGAAGGTTTTGTTTACCCATTTTACTGTGTTGACGGCAGGGCACGCTCGCTGAGCGGATCAGGGCCGGTGGCGCAGGTGTGCCTGCCTTCTTCACTGCCACAGGCTATGGCACACTCATCCAAGAGGGAGGCTCTCCTATCAAATACAACAAGGACGGAACCATTGCCATCGCTAGTGAACCCAGAGAGGTCAGTTGTCGCTTATCTTCCAGTTTTATTGAGTGATGCAGTCATACAGCGCATGTCTCAGATGAGGTGTTCTGAATAGCATCAGTAAAAATAGACATTGGATCTATTATGTACTGCCGCTGTCATGTTTCAGGTGCGTGAATTTAATGGCCGACACTTCATCATGGAAAAAGCCATTACGGGAGACTTTGCTCTGATCAAAGCCTGGAAAGCGGATAGGGCAGGAAATGTCATCTTCAGGTACAAATGCTTGTTCTTCTGAGGTTGTTCAGCTCTACTGTAGACAGACTAGAAGTTGTTTTCCTTAACCCAACACTATCACATGTTCACTGGTGTGGTTGGTGTTTTGCCCAAACCTGAAAATAGTTCCTTTCTCTCACCTTACTCTTTCCATTTAGCACATACCCACACTGAAGGCAAGGCCACATGAGACACTTTTTGAAACAGTAACTTATTTTAGAAAAAAAACTTTAAACACAGTAGACAAGGCAAACTTTTAAAATAGCTGTAACTTCAAACCCAGTCTTTTTCATTCATTAAACAACCCACAGAAAATAATGTTAAAAAAACAGTGGTAAAATACTTAAAGAAGAAGAAGAAAAAGAAAAATATCAGTTTTAAATGCACTACCATGTAGAGATTTAGGGCCAAGGTAAGGTTTTTAAAAGTGTCTTATGTACATTAAATATATTTACTGCAATATTATTCATATTATGCTAATATTACTTATAATAGTATAACTGTAATATCAGCATTGTTACTCTTTGAAATATCTCTTTTCTATTTTAATATATTTTAAAATGTAATTTATTCCTAAATGTATTCATTTCAGCATCATTTCTCTAGTCTTCAGTGTCACATGATCCTTTAGAAATCATTCTGATTTGCTGATTTGGTGCTCAAGAAACATTTCTTATTCTTCTTATTCTTCTTTTTATTCGTATTCTTCTCCTTATTATCAATGCTAAAAACTACAGAGCCCCAGAAGGGACATGGTGGTTGAAATATCTGAGAGGGTGGGGAAAATAATAAGTCAATGCTTTTGTGTTCCCTCGCAAAAACGACGGCATTCCCCCCAAAAACTTTGCATTCGCTCGCAAAACCTTTTGAGCTCTTGCGAACTAACGTAACCTCAGTTCTCTTAGAAGTGGGAACGAATACTGCGTAATATCTTAGCTAGAGGAAAACCTCTTTTTCACGAGATATTGAAGCCAAACATTATCTTTAATTTTGCGTTCATGTAAAACGCGTTGCGGCAGCATCCAGACATAGGCAAGACAGCTTGTGTGCCTATTGGCTGTCCTGCGTCAACTGCAGCAGCCTATTGAGAGAGGCCCTTGGTGACGTCAGATCCAATGGGGGCACTTTACGGCCACTACGTCACGTCCCGAATCTGAGCTGATCCTGGTATCGAGCCATCCTTACTGCATAATCTTTGAAGCATGATGAAAAGAGGCTACGATTGGTGCGAAGAGCTATGTCTGTAGCGCTCCTCAAATCCGGCATGCTGAAAGCTTCCGATCCTTCCGCATCCTGTTTTCGGAGAAGGTCGGCTTGGAAGATCTGCAAAATGGCCATCGAGTGTAATGCCGAGACAGCCTGCCCAGCGGTGGTATAATCGCGGCTGTGCATAGTTTTATAAGGTAGCTCGCCATCCAGCAGAGGGCGGGCTACAGCTTCTTCTACTGGAGGAAGAGAGTGGTATCCTCTGTCTTTAGCATCATGAAGTTCAGGAAGAAAAGGTGAGGCCTAATAAGACGGTGGAGCGCAGCCCCTTTTGCAGGAAACATCCATCCAGTCGATTGTGTGCGTGCGCTGCCCACTCAAGGCCGAGGCTCACCACAGCCTGCGATAGCAAATGCATCAGCTCGGATTCAGGACGTGACGTAGTGGATCTGACGTCACTCAATAGGCTTCTGCAGTTGCCGCAGGACAGCCAATAGGCATAGGCAATAGGCAATAGGTAGGTCTTGCCTATGTCTGCATGCTCTCAAATTCAAAATTAAGGATAATTTTTGGCTTCAATATCTCGCGGAAAAAAGAGGTTTTCCCCTAGCGTAAGATATCACGTAGTACGAGAGAAGTTTCTCGGGGGAACGAAAAATATTTTTGAATGAAAGCAAAAGTATTGACAAATATTTTTTTCTTCATCATGTCCGTTTAGTGGCTCTGTATTATACACAGTTAAAGCTGCTTGATGTTTTTGTGGAAATCATCATGCCTTTTTTCATGATTTTTTGTTAAATTGATTTGTTAAATTTAAAAAGGTATGTTGCCATATAAAAAGGGTTATAAATAGTGTATAAAGTAGCTGTGTATGATAAAAATTGTGTTATATTTGAACAGATTTGGAGATTTTACATTTGCAACGTTACATAAATGTAAGTGTAGTATTTTGTTTTACCACAAGGGTGCACTGTTTCCTTGACCATAAAATTGAACACTTGTTCTGCTTTGGTTGACATTTTTTGGAAGATGGCAGTTGTTTTGGTTACACTTCATTTCAAAAGCCCACTATAGACAATTTATTAACTATAAGTAACTTTAAGTAACAACTACATATCAACTAACTCTCATTAGAGTTTTAGGAGACTATTAGGGTTAATAAGTTTAGAATAAGTTGACATGTACTTGCAAAGTTACTTAGTCAGTAGAATGTCTGCTTTGGACAATAAAAATAAAGAGTTAGCAGATGATAAGCAGAAAGTTTCTAATGACTGGTAGTTGACATGGAGTTAGTGGAATCTCTGAAGTGGACAACTGAAATAAAGCGGTACCAATGTTTTTGTCAATGGATCTGGACTGATTTTTAATAGCTTGTCATTCTGGCTCAATTCACCATATTTAATTATCAGTGGCTCTTAAATGGAGGAAAGAACATGCCACACATTGATACATGAATCAGTACAGTTCCACCTCAGCTCTACATGTCTGAAGTTGGTTTTAAAAATTTAAATGCTAAGTATGTACTTTTTTTTAACAGGAAAACAGCGAGGAACTTCAACCAGCCCATGTGCAAGGCAGCCAAGATCACAATTGTAGAGGTAGGTGAATACCACATTGCCAGGGTTATGCAGTTGTTTAGTTTGGTTCAGACCTCATTGTTTTCTGTTTGCCAGTTTCTCCTTACCTTGTCTGTTTCCATAGTCATTAATTGAGTTAAGCAGGTGTTGTGTGTTACATTTAACAATCTCTGTGTTTATTTAAGCCCTCGGTTTACTCAGTTGGGGTTTCCTCAGAGCCTCTACTTTATACTTTTGTGGATTATTATATTAAAGACGTTATATTTTTATATTTCCGTGCCCCACACTACGTTACTGCAGCCACGTGTGACCTGCATGACTTCTGGTCATGTGCTTCTGTCAGATCCTGTTTGAATGCACTTGGGGAGGTTTAAAAGCTTGTGCATATATCATGTTGTCCATACTATAAATTCAATTCCTCCGCTCCTGCATTTTATTTTATCATTTGTTTTTCGCATTTTTTTTTCACAACAAAATAAATTGTTGGTTTCATCTAGATCTTTGAAGTTTTTTCCCCCCCATTCACTCCTTTTCATTTCCTTTCTATCCAGAGCGCTTTTCAAACACTTGCCTGCATATCAAATATGCTTTTATCCAAGCCTTTGTTCAAAACGCGCAGCTACGAACAAAAGACTTATCAAAAGGCATTTTCAGTGGCTATGAACGAACTCCATTAATGAATCTTATCTTCCATCAGCACTGTTCTTTCTCCGGTTTGAAATGGTTTACATGTGAATCAATAACTATTGAATTTGAACCATTTGAGCAGATATTTCTGTAACTAGTCTCCACGCTTTTCTATCTGTCTACCAATAGTACTATCATCAGGAAGGAAGACTTTTAGCTCACTCAGATTCTTTAATTGTCTTCTGCTACAATTGTGTCGGAAGCTATCAGCGCATTAGAGCTTTTATTTGTCTGCTTTTCAATCTTTATTGTGGCTGCACAGCAATATGAGCAGTTATTAGTGGCCAGTATCCTCTGACAATACGGTTATTGCGGTCCCACTAAAGATAAGCTTATCAGTTCTCTGAACACAGCAATGGTTAAAGACCTTTTTCAATGTTTGTGCATCTGGTGATGAAAGCCATCCTGCTAGGAGAATGAATCAGTTGGCTGAGTGCTGAGCAACAGTGTGTATCTTGCATTCTGCCTCTGTTTGAGTGGTTAAGATGTTGTTTGTGGTGCCAAATCACTCAGAATAAAGATTGACTCACTGCCACCCCTGTTTTCTGGGGATTAGAAAAGAAAACAGTCATTTGGGTTACTGCAGGTGTCGTGTCTGTCTCATCTGTTTTAAAAGTTTTTTTGGCAAAGACGCATTAAATTGATCCAAAATAACAGTAAAGACATTTATAATGTTACAAAAGATTTCTGTTTCAAATAAATGCTGCTCTTTTAAACATGCGCTTTCTTCATTGTTTCTAATGAAAAAAATCATGGAGAGAGAAAAAAAGCTCTCCAGAAAAATACTAGGCAGCACAACTCTATTCTATTCATCACAAAATCGTTCTGTAAAATAACCAGAAGGGGGAAGAGGCTTCAGCATCAACTCCAAATAGTTCTTGAGTTGCACTTCAGGATGTGCAGTCAAATCTGTTGATTGCATTGCAGTGATTGCATTTTGCACTAGGGCTGTTGTTATATTTACAATAATTGTTAAGACAGCAGTTATGGTATATTATAACCCTGTTATGATTGTAATACATTTTTTTTAATTGTGTATATTAACAATAATTTGCTGTTGGAAATGATTATTAATAATTATATTAATTAATATGAATAAAATACAGTTGGTACGAGCCAGATTAATGGAATCCACTACTACTCTTATATGAATATATTATAATCCTATTATATTTCACATATTTTATTTTGTAAATATTTTTTTTATTAAAAATAACTTTCCTGCAATTAGAATGATTTATTACAGGCAGCATTAACATTATTGATGTTCTTCTATGTCTGTTAAATGCTTTACTTTTCTGCAAAAGTGTTGTTGAATTGTATACATTTAGGGATTTTCTCAGCAAATATTTATATCAGTTATCATTTATTTGTAAACCATGTAATTAATGTGATTTAAAAATTAACTGAGGCTATAAAGTCAATTGAAGACTACTATACTATTTTAATATAGTGGAAATCTTGTGCAATGCATTTTTTTTTTTTTTTTTTTTTGTGCAATGCATTTTGAGAGCATAGTGGTTGTGACCCAGTTTTTGCACATGCAAGTACATCTATTTTCCCAGACAGAACCATCCTGTACCTGCATATGAAAATCATCCTTGCAGTCCTTGATAATCTTATTACAGAGTGCTTGATTGTAGCCAGCTTAAACTCTGTCCCATGTTTTACTTCAAATAGACTGTCATTCGGTTTATCCCTTTACCTATATCCCCCTTCCCTTTTTTTGTGTTTTTTTTTTTCATATGTTATTTGTCTGTGGAATGCACTATATTTTATAGCTTCAGCATTTCCTTTACTTTCTGATATCTGATTTTCACTCCAAAGTAGCTGAGGCCATATTTAGCTGCTTGGAAGGAAGACAGTGTTTTATGATCATCCAGTTATAATCTGCCAAAACACAGCAGCCTCGTTGAATTATTTCCTCTCAATTGGATGGCTGATGAGGCTTGCCAATGGCTCAGCATTTCGAGAAAAGCGTTCCTGTTGCCTGTCAGAGCCAGGCGCTGGAAATACTGATGCCACTGGAGGAAACAGACACCTTATTTCCTCTTGTTATAAAACAGACCATGTCCTAATTAACAGGACATCTGATAGCTGTGTGTCTATAAAGCTGCCATTTTCCTAATTAATTAAAAAAACGGATCATTAGCATTAACCAAAGGAAATTCAGATTGCTAAAAAATAATAATAATAGAGCAGGCGAAATCAATTCGGCCAGCTGGTTGCCAGGCGACAGAAGCCTGCACAGCGGATCCGTGGCATATTCCAGATTTCCTGTTATCGCAGGTACAATGAGACCCAGAGCATTGTGGGATTCGAGGGCAGTTAGTTCAAACAAGGCCATATTTGCTAGTCACATTGGCTGTAAAGGTACCGATCTGTTCTTTTTCAAATTTTGTTGAAACGACAGGTTGCATAAAATGAGTTTTTTTTTGTTTGTTTTTTTTTTGTCAGGATGGAGCTAATTGGTTATTGATGAAATTTATGCTCAAAGGTATTATCTCTCCTCCTCCCTCTGTCAAATTTCAAAATGCTGATTATGCTTTTGGTTTGTTGCACATAAATTACCAGAGCGAGTACGACAGCTGGGGCATTGTGAGCGTGTTCAGGGATATTGCTAAATGTGAAGCCAGAAGGTCATAGTGTTGATTTTTTTTTTCAGTCCTGTTTCAATGAAATAACCTTTGATTAGAGTTCTTTATGTAAAGATTTTTTGTTATTATTCTGCACATTTACTGGACAGGACTAGGGTGCGAATTACACAATGGCCTTCATATATATGTACTGTATATATGTATATACATCTTCATTGCCATTTAAAGGTGCAAAATACAAGTTTGAGTTTTTGCAGAACTACGCCCCCTGTGGCGACAAGCGAAACTGCAACCAGAGGTGTGCGTGGTCATGGATCACACACACACACACACACACACGTTTGCACAGCCGAACACATATTTAGTTACAGTCATAATGAGGTAATAAAGTTATAAATCTGCAAGTCATTTAAAATGTATGAAAGGAAAGGCATTTGAGTAAACTACACATTGTGTGTGTGAGGGGGAAACGGGGGTGGTAGAAAACTTCGGTTTTTGTTTCCATCTCTCTTCATGTTGAACTGTTTTATGTGTCTACTGTATCCACTTATGATTGTATCATTATGGAAACATGTTCATGAACAATATAAGTTATTACTTTGTATATAGGGATTTGAGCCCTTGAGTAGACCGGAGATCTCTCCATTGTTGAAAGCTTCCCGATGATGACTCTCGTCTTATTCCGACGCCTGGCACTAGACAGAAGTTTTATTTTCTTTGTCTCACGTGGAGTTTGCGTTGGGGTTTGGATTGCCAGACATAGCCAGTCGAGCGTGAATGTGCATGATCTCACGCCCACTCTCAAATTAGAGCCCGATTATTTTACACCGTGTCCTAACTAAACGCGACACGATAAAATTCCAGTGACAGCAAGTGTGTCTGTCCACACTAGACGCCACTGTGAGACGCCACACGTCAATCAAAAATCACAGCCATTCAGAACAGCGTGTGGGCGGAGTCTCTCTGTGAAAGCGCACTGCTGGCCCGCACTCTCATTGGAAATGGGTAAGGACATAATCAAATCAAGAAATAACATTATTAAATCAAAACATGAACAAAATATACTCATTGACTAATTTTGTTATGAAGTACAGTGGTATGTTTGCATAGAATTCATTTTGAACGCTATTTTATATGCTTTCAAAATCTGACGTAAATTATCGTCGTTATCCGTTACCGTTATCGCTTGTGGCACAGTGACCTAATGCCTTTGAACTTCGACAATCAGTTCCCCGTCGTCCATGTTTGATGATTAAATATTCATGACACGCAGAACTTTAATCCAATGAGATCTCTGTGTGGGCGGATCTGTCAGCCGCGACGTCGCAGAAATAGGAACCGTTTCTAAATTAGAAACTTCACGTGTCGCCGTCGCGTCTGGTTAGGACAAAAACTTTGATTAACATGGAAAAGATAACGTTTATCGCGTGTCACAGCGTCGCGTTGCATGTAGTTAGGACACGGTGTTACTGTACTGGATTATAGAGGCAATCGCAGTGATCAGAGAAGGGCTCATTCAGCCCATCAGGCAATTGTTTAAGCATGTATGGGTTAAAAAAACTGCTATTTTTAACATGAAATGTTGCACAATGCACCTTTAAGTGAAATTACTGAACTTAAATATACAAGCTTGATAAAAATATCATTCTAGAATAAAATTTCAAATGGCACTTAGAGGCTTTTGCATCTGAACTCTTCATATACTCTATGATAATCAACTGTGTTTATTGTAGCTTG